CAAAGTGAGCTCAAGGCCAGCCTGAACTGCATAGCGAGATCCTGTCTCAAAAAGACAAAAAAACAAAACAAAACAAAACAAAAAAAACTGAAGGCTTTGATTAGGGTGCAAATCATATCCATTCTCTGTAGGATCTCCCTCTGGACACCACCTTGGGCAAATCTCAGTTTCTCTTCCTATCACTCTTAAGAAAAGGGGTCTTGCTGTGTTGCTCAGGGTACTCCGGAACTCCTGGGCTCAAGTTGTCCCCCTTCCGCAGCCTCCTGTGTAGCTGAGACTATAGGTACACACCAGCATACTCAGCTGCCTCAATCCACATCATGTGTAATGATTAACTTCAGTTTCATATCTAGTTTAAAACCTCTCAGGCAGTTGAAAACTTGGTTTACTTTGCATTTTTACACTTTTCATTCTTGTCTTTCACTTTGCCATTCTGGGTCTTCTCATGGTAGGGGTAGTGCTGAGGAGGACAGAGAAGTACTGGTAGGAGTGATTCTAAGAAGAGAGGTGGCAGTCTCTTACATGAGGACATCTGAGGCAGAAACCAGCACTGGTTATTTCTTGCACACAATATTTATGGAGGCTTGACCTAGGACTCAAGATCCCTCAAGCAACTGCCTCCTGAAGTCTCTGCTCCCTTTAGTAGGTGGCCCTATTGAGTAGTTCCTTTCAGGAATGTCCTAGGTATAGGCCAGGCATAATAGCACATGTCTATAATCCCAGTACTCTGGGAGGCTGGCGCAGGATGGTCACAAGTTCCAGCCCATCCTGAACAAGTCAGTGAAAGGCTGTCTCAAAAACAACAACAGCAGCAACAACAACAACAAAAAACACCCAAAAGTGCTGGGGATAAGTTTCCCATCCAGTGCAAATGCCCTGCATCTATTCCCAGGAATGTTTAGAAAAACAAAACCAAACCGAGCATGGTGTGGACGTCTATAATCCCAGCACCCAGGAGGCTGAGGCAGGAGGATTGCCATGAGTTGGACGTCAGCCTGAACTACATATTGAGACCCTATCTCAAAAAAAACAAGGGCCGGGGATATAGCTCAGTGGCATAAGCGCCTGCCTGGCAAGTGCAAGGTCCTGAGTTTGATTTCTGGTACCAAGAAAACAAAACAAAAACCCAAAAGAACAAACACAAAAGATCATCTTGGATAGCCCACCTTTTTCTAGCATCCTTTTTCCAGCATAGAAGTATTGCCATATCAAACATAGGTGTTGAGGGCCAACCCTTGCTCCCTTTTGTCTTTGTCCTGTTGGAGTGTGACAGCCAGCCTCCCTAATTCAAACATATGTGGTCCAGAAGTGGATAACCACCTTTACATACATACTCAAAGACCCCAAACTGGAGAGACGTGTCTAGTTCACCTACAAACCTGCCCATAGGTGGTTGTAGTAGGAGGGGCTTATTACAGTCAGCATGGCTCACTAGCTTGGGAGAAATCTAGCAGATACGCATCTTCAGTAGTTTTTTTTTTTTTTTTTTTTGAGATAGGGTCCAGGCTGGCCTTGAACTCACAATGATGCTTCTGCCTCAGCCTCCTGAGTGCTGGGATTATAGGAGTGCCACCACACCCAGCAGTACCCCCATTTTGTAGTTAGGTGGGCATGCTGTACTCTCCTATGATTTCTTCTGATGAATTTCTTTTGACTGTTCCTGTGCCCCTGAATAAAACTGGAGGTAGGTGAAGGATCTAGTAACTGGTAGCTTTTTTTTTTTTTCTTCTCCTTTTTGGCAGTACCAGAAATGGCACTGAGCTACTTCCCCAGCCTGAACGTCAACCTGATGTTTTATTTTATTTATTTATGTCTGTCTGTCTGTCTCTTTTTTTGAGACAGGGTCTCGCTATGCAGTTCAGGCTGACCTTGAGCTCACTTTGTAGTCCAGGCTGGTCTCGAACTCGCAGCGATCCTCCTGCCTCAGCCTCCCGAGTGCTGGGATTACAGGCGTGTGCCACCACGCTTGGCCTGACATTCTATATATATGGTTGGGCTCACATTTGTGATCCTCTTGCCTCTGCCTCTCCGAATGCTGGGATTACAAGCATACATCACCACTCTTGTCCCTCCTCTTCCTTTCATCTTCCTCCTCCTATGAAGTACTGATGATAGAAGCCAGGGTCTTTCTACCACTGAACTACATCTCTAGCATTTTTTATTTTGAGGCAGGGTCTTGCTAAGTTGCCCAGACTAGCTTCACACTTGCAATCCTCCTGCTTCACTTTCTTGTTTTTTTTTTTTTTTTTTCTCCGGTACTGGGAACCAAACTCACGACCTTGCGCGCTTGCCAGGCAGGTGCTTTGCCACTGAGCTAAATCCCCAGCCCCTGCTTCACTTTCTTGAGTAGCTGAGATTACAGGCATGCCAATACACCCAGCTGTGGTGTCTCTTTTTTTAGAGCTATTGTTCTCAGCTTTGGAGTAGCCCATTAATATTTTGGGGAGCTATAGCTGTGGCTCCATGGTAGAGTGCTTGCTTGGCATGCTTGAGGTCCTAGGTTCAATCCTCAGCACTGCAAACAGCCACCATCATGCCAAACAGATATGCCAGACCATTCTGGTACAATATCATCAATTGCACACCAGAATGAAAAGGGAAGATTCCTTTTTTTTTTTTATTGTATTTTTTTCCTTATTTATTTTTTTCCTTATTTATTTATTTATTTATTTATTTATTTATTTATTTATTTTGGTTTTTCTCCAGTACTGGGAATTGAACTCACGACCTTGCGCTTGCCAGGCAGGCACTGTGCCGCTGAGCTAAACCCCCAGCCCTCCTTTTTTATTTATTATTTTTTTAAACAGGGTCTTACTATGTAGTTCAGGCTGACCTTGAACTTGTGGTGATCCTTCTGCCTTAGCCTCCTGAGTGCTGGGACTGCAGACGTGTGCCACTATGCCTGGCTGAAAGGTTTAGTCTTACACTGACATTTATGCAATCTCACAGCTGGGAGAAATTTAGAAACCTTTTGTTTCAACTCCCCAACAAAGTCAAGAATCAGATGGAGATGTTATCTTGTTTTCATTTGAATGGACCCAGGAATTGGGAACACATTCTGTTAGTTCTCAGCTCTGCCAGCCACTATTTGAACGGCACTGAGTCACTTAAATCCCTGCAGTTTCCTCATCTATACAAGGGAGTAAATTATATATTCTTCAGGGAACATTGTTGGAGGGTAAGAGGAGGTAGATACCTAAATTACCTAATCCAGTTAGAGCAGAGCACAGTGTTGGCTCTTGTTACAGGTCTTTTTATGGGACAGCAGATTCCAGCTCTTAGGTGAGAGTCCAACATTTTTTTTTTTTGTACCGGGAATCAAACTCAAGACCTTTGAGCCTGCCAGGCAGGCGCTTGTGCTGCTGAGCTATATCCCCAGCCCTCTAGCTCTCAGTATTCCTCACCTGGATGAGGTCTTCCTTGTATGGAACTACCTCTGCACAGTTTTAGCAACTTCCTTATATTTAAGCCACAATGGTCATCTACAATGTCTTCTTTTCCTTCCGCTTGACACCTTGACAGATACCTGATTTTATTTTTGTTTTTTAAAATGGGGAATAACTTGGATTAACTCTTTGGGATCATACAGTCCAGTATTTGGGATAAAAGGATTAACATGTTCAAGAGTAATTTTCTTTTTCTTTTTGGTACCGGGAATCGAACTCGTGACCTCAGGCATGCCAGGCATGTGCTTATGCTGCTGAGCTATATCTCTGGTCAAGTAATTTTCTAAGACAGCATTTGTGCTAAGTTGACCACAATTCCTATAGGTGATAAGACAGAAGTTTAAACTTTATTGTGGTACAATAAATAGCACTACTCAAAAATTTAAAGGATTCAAGCCAGGCATCTTGGCATATGCCTGAAACTGGGGAGGGTGGCTGAGGCAGAAGAATCACTGTGAACTGGAAGACAGTGTGGGCAACATAATGAGTTCAAAGGAGCCAGAAATACACTAGGAGACCATATCTTAAAAAAAAAGGCTGAATGCCTTATATGTATAATCATGTGACCTTAAGCAGCATGCTTATTGCCTCAAATGCAAAGAACCTGGCCAAACTTTCCTCAGCTTCCAGGAAGAATGGATGGAACACAGATAACTGGTTTTAGTTGGAGGTGGAGATACTGGAAGAAAAACCTTTTTTTTTTTTTTTTTTTTTTTTTTCTTTTTTTTTGAGCTGAGGAGTTGGCGTGACACTTCTTCGTGAATCCCAAGAAGCATGTATGTGTGTATATATGTATGTATATATGTGTTTATCCATTTATTTATTGCTTGCGGTACTGGGATAGAACCCAGGCCGTTGCACTGAGCTACATCCCCAGGCCTTTTTTCTATTTTTTATTTTGAGACAGGGTCTCCCTGAGTCGATAAATTGCTCAGACTGGGCACAGCTTTGCGATCCTCATAACTCAGCCTCCCAGAGTGCTGGGATCACAGGCGTGCACCGGCAAACCGGACTCCAAGAAGTATTTATCGAGTGAATGCATTTTATAACGTACATCTCTGTCCCAAGATTGAATGGGTTTCTTGGGGAGTCAGTTTTCTCTGGCACTTTTGGGTTTAATCAAAGGCTGGCGAAAGCCTTGAAAGAGGACGGGCGGCGAGTGTGTGTAGCAAGTGTTAAGACACTGGAATGTATTTGAATGGCGCTATTCCTTGTCACAAAGCAAGAATCTGATGTCATTTATTTCCTGAATGCATGGTTAAATGTGGAAGCAAAGAAAGCCAACCGCTTGCACTTGATACTTAGCCAGGGGCTCAAAAACTCCTTTCTCTCCGGGAGTCGAGTTCAGGGTCCTCTTTCGGGGTGGGTGGGCTCTAAGCCTGGGCGTTGTTTGTGTGCTGCGAGAGGCCGCTAGGCTGTGCTGGGGAGCTTGCAGCCCACCGCGAGGGGCCCCTGCTCTCCCCACCCCGCCCCTCCGCCCGGCCAGAGACTACAACTCCCGGGGTGCTCTGGGCGGGGAGGCGGGCGCCCCGGGGGCGGGGCGCGAGGGCGGGCTTTCCGGGCGTGTGTTTCCGGCGTCGGCGGCCGCGGCCGGGGACGGTGTGAGAGCGGTAAGATGGCGGCGGCAGCGGTGGTGGAGTTCCAGAGAGCCCAGTCTCTGCTCAGCACTGACCGGGAGGCCTCCATCGACATCCTCCACTCCATCGGTAAAGGTCGCCGCGCCGTCGCTGCGGCCCCGCCGGGCGCGCTCGGCCTGTGTCGGTCGGCGGCTGCGGAGAGGGG